CACAAAAGTCCATCAGTTTTGAAGGGAAATCAGACATCATGAAGATCGCTATTGAAAATCCTTGTAATGGGCTAGGCGCAGTGGTTCAAGCCTGTCATCCCAACACTTTGGGAGGCCGAGGTGGGGGCAGATTGCTTGGGGCTGGGAAATCGAGACCAGCCTGGCCAACATGGAGAAACCCCATTTCCACTAAAAGTATAAAAATTAGCCCAGTGTGGTGGCATGCATCTGTAATTCCAACTACTTGGGAGGCTGGGGCATAAGAATAACGTGAACCTGGGAGACAGAGGTTGCAGTGAACCAAGATGGTGCCACCGCACTCCACCCTGGGCAGTATAGCAAGACTGTCTCAAAAAAAAGACACTGTAAGGTACCTGCCTAAACTGGTAACCTGGTACTGACTCTCCGCAAGGCTTATACATCCTTGTCTCCACAGACCTTAGAAGAGAACAGAGATTATTCAGGGCTGCATAGAGGCAGCAGTTAGCTTGAGTGGGGTTCTACAATGAACAATAGGGCAAAGAGTATCTTTCAACACTCACTCGACCTTGGGGAGAGGGTGGTTACCCCTGGCCTGCGTCTGAGCAGAGCAGCAGAACCACATCCTCCTCCAACACTTAGCTTGGGTCACAAGCTCAGTTAGGGAAATAGCTTGTGGAAATGACCAAGGTTGTTACGATTTTATTTTTCTCTTTTTGCCAGCCTGTAGTCTGTTTGTTCATTACTTAACTTGCTAAAAAGTTCTAAGAGCCAGGTAAAATAAAGTCAATACAACAGTGTCCTAATACTTATCTCAGTATTATGGGCTCAGTAACATACTACAAAATGACTCTTGACCTCCCCATCTATACCTAGTTTCCCTGTCATTGATTCTTGTGTGATCAGAATAACCATTTTTTGAATCCATTTGTGTCAGATGGCATATGCAGACAATTAGGAAAGACTGTAGACAAAGAAAAAAATATAATACACCAACAATGTGGGAAGATGAAAGTAACATGCCTTATGATAAACACATTTATTATTTGCCCTCAGTGTGGGATGTAAGAAAAAATAGATTTTTAAAAAAAAAAAAAAAAACCTCCCAACAGTTAAAATTCACAGGAGGCCATGTCTTATTAATATACATCAGAAGCACCGTCTAAGTCTTAAATTCTGATTATTTTGCTGGAAGCTAATGCTAGAAGCAGCAAGATTGTCTTGAAATGTTCTTGATGAATGCATTATCTTTTCATTCTACAAAAATGAAAGAAAGGGAAATAACTTTAGATGAAATCAAATGGGAACGGGCACAATAGATAGTTACGGCTCCTCAGGAAGAAACAGAGAGATGCTATCTGTCTTGTGAAGATATTTTAGACAACTTTCGAGAAGTGGGCTAGGTACAACCAAGTTGCTCTATTGATTATGCTGGATTGGATATATAGCACTCTCAGGGGGTTAAGACAGATCTGAACATTTAAGCTGTTTTATGGGAGAGTTACTGTCTGTATGTAATAGGCCACTTTAAATATTAACTTTCTCTATTCATATTTTAATATACACAAGACAGAGTCTACTTTACAGAGAAGTAACCTATAAATTTCCATCAGAAAAAAATAAATACTCCCACTTTAATTTCTGGAACTACAAAGTTCCAGAAAATACTTTTATAGAAGAAAATTATGTGTTATTTAAAAATTAGTGATTTACGAAAGTTTATCTAGGTATGCAAGATAGATATAAAATTAATGACGGCAACAAAGACAGACCCTGTGGCTTATGATACATGAATTTTTTAAAATTAAACTTTTAATTTTTCTCAGAATAGCAGATTCACATGCAGTTATAAGAAATAATGCAGAGATACCATGACCCCTTTAACACATTTCTCTTCATTGTACCATCTTTCAAAACTACAGTACAGTGATAGGTGCTTTCTTAAAAAAAAGAATTATGCAGGTTTCATATCAATATTATTCCATGTGTAAATTATCAACACCACCCTAATTTAGCCTGTACTAATATGTACTGTTCAGTTGCATTTATATGATCTAGACAAATAGAGCAGATGAATACTAATTTCTCCAAAATGTTGGAACATTCATGAACTCATGTGGCATGTTAACACCTACAGAATAGCTGAGCATAGTGGCTCAAGCCTGTAATCCTAGCATTTTGGGAGACTGAGGCAGGCAGATCACTTGAAGCCAGGAGTTCGAGACCAGTCTGGCCAACGTAGTAAGACCCTGTCTCTACTAAAAATACAAAAATTAGCTGGGCATAGAGGTGGGTGTCTGTAATCCCAGTTACTGAGGTGGATGAGGCAAAGGAACTACTTGAACCCAGGAGGTGGAGGTTGCAGTGAGCTGAGATCACGCCACTGAACTCCAGCCAGGGCCAGAGAATTTGATCCTGTCTCAAAAAAAAGAAAAAAGAACTATAGAATGAAGGAAATTTCTATTAGTGCTTAAAACAAAACAAAACAGGTGGATTTCGACACCCAGGTTTCTAAACCACCATAAGTTAAAACTCCAAAGATTTTTTTAAAAATGGCATGTTCTTTGTTTCAAATTGCGTATGACTGGTTGTCACTTTTTTAAAACCCTTCCTACAGAATCATCGTAGAGTATTTATGAGATATTGGCCTATCTAATATTATGCTGTGAATTTTACAGTAATAAGTATCATGAGAGTAACAACGATTTATTTCTGCTTCTCGAAACACTGTGCTTCTCAAATCTCTGAGACCGATGGGTTCGTATTTGGAGAGCTTTGCTCAGAGATAGGCAAACACTCAGAGATAGGCAACAAGTTGTGGATCCCTTTAGGAAGTCAGCAGAGTGACACAGATTGATAATCAGCTTCTGGAAGACCAAGGTCATGAATCAACTTGCATTGAGTGAAACCTACATGCATCTAAAACCTGTCATTGGTGATACCAAGCTGAAAGCTGTCACTGAAATGTGTTATCTTTGCGGAAGGCTGTCAAGCGTTGCAAGCCAAGTAGAAAACCGTATCAGAAAGCCCAGTGATTGTCTCTGACAGCCTTCCAGAATGTGTCATTGAGGCACACTCAGGTTCAATCTCTGATTGAACCCAGTGTAACAAAGCTCTTATCCACTAGATTTAGATGTTCTGAAGAAAATAATCTCATTGCAGGTATCCTACGAACACCATATCTAAAGCATAAAGTAGAACAACTGATAGGTAAATTCTGAATTGTAACAATAAGCACACAATCTGTGCTGAGGTCGTAGAGAGGTGAGGATGAAAAGGCACGTACAGGCCAGGCACGGTGGCTCATGCCTGTGATCCCAATACTTTGGGAGGCCAAGGTGGGCAGATCACCTGAGGTAAGGAGTTTGAGACCTGTCAGTCCAACGTGGCAAAACCCCATCTCTACTAAAAATATAAAACCTAGCCAGGAGTGGTGGTACATGCCTGTAATCCCAGCTACTCAGGAGGCTGAGGCAGGAGAATCACTTAAACCCAGGAGGTGGAGGTTGCAGTGAGCCAAGATCGTGCCACTGCATTCCAGCCTGGGCGATAGAATGACACTCCATCTCAAAAACAAAAACAAAAACAAATAACATTACTGGATGAACAGTTTTTCCTGAGCAGCTACTCATACAGATGAATCAAGGAACAGGAAAGGGTCACCTACTATAACACAAGAAGCAGAATTGTTTCTGGGGACATTATAAAAGAGGGCCCAAAGCCAGGAATCACTGTCCTGAGTGAGTGCGAAGCAAGTCTATGAACAAGCCAGGCAAACTCAAAGCAATCGGCCATGAATAATCTCAGACAAATGCTGCTTTGGAGAAAGAAAGAAAGAAAGAAAGAAAGAAAAAAATGATACCTAAAGCTCCGCATTTAGCCAGTTAGGTTAAAAAAGAAAAAAAAAAAAAAAGGCAATGTTGTTACCTACAACATAAATAGGACCAAAGGGCTGGGAGTAAAGTCATTTTAGCCCAGCATGAGGGCTCTGGCCACCAAGGATCCTGAAAGGGATTGCTAACAGTGGTTTGCAGTGACATCCTTAGTTATGAAGGGTTCACTTTAAAAAGAGAAACAGAGAAAAAAAACTTGTTTTAATGAGCCAAAGTTATAAGCAGTTAAGTAATAAGAGTAAAAAATATCTTTAGGCATCAACAGAACCCCAGATAGCACCAAGCAGAGATGTAATGTAACATCCCAGAGCCTCTTTTCAGATGGTACAGTGGGGCACAGTGAGGCACTCTCTGGTACTTACAAGGACAATCTATAAACTGATATTTGCACAACAGTAATTGACAGGGAGGTAGCTCTTCACATTGGCAATGGTAAAAAGATGACGCTGCAGATTCACAAATCCCGAAATGACAAGTGAAGGAAATGGGATAATCGAATCGCTGGTCTGATACACAAAGGGATGAGACAGTTCATCTGTACTCGGAAGTAATAAAAAAATATTAATAAAGCAAAATCTCAAGGAAGATAAGAATTCTGCCTATTTGCATATTTGGCACAATGTTACCGGGTAGAACTTTCTGCAATGATAAAACGTCCTCAGTCTGGGCTGCCCAATAGGATAGTCATTAGCCAAATGTGGCTGATAAGCACTTGACATGTACCTCATACAACTGAGGAACCGAATGTTAATATTATTTAATTTTTAACTAAAACTTAAATGGAAATAGCCACATGTGGTGAGTGGCCACCATATTGGGTAGCTTTCTGACAGTCCTATGTACCTTACATCTATTAACTCATTTAATTACTACAACCCTAGGTCTAGATGTATAATACTTTATTATCTACAGTTAGTATTTTTTTTTTAAATGAAGCCACAGAGTGATTAGCCACAGAGTGCTTTACGCAGTCACATAACTTGTTCTCAAACTAAGGACTGATTGATTAAGCTCCCTTCACAGCAATGTGCACTATTTAATGAGCAAGTCATGGTTTAAGGTAAACACCAGAGACATCCAAAAATATTTCATGTTGCTCTGAGCACAAGTAAAGAAGCCATTGTCTACCTGTTTTCCCTGTGTTTTTCATCCAGGTTTTGTTAGAAGACTCATTGTCGAAGCCATCAAGCTGCAATTCCTGGTATTCTTCCCCAACACGCGCATGCTGGTCTAAAATGTCAATAGGAGACTGGTGATGACCCCCACAGCTGACACTAGACGTGACCCAGTGCTCAGGACCATAGGCACCTGTTGAAAGAAAACAACTCTTCAATCCTCATGATTCAAAGGTCTGGGATGAAATGAATAAATCTTAGGAAGCTGAGCGTTACAGCTCTCAATGTGTCCCCAGTCCAAAGAGCTGAACGTACTGAAAATTACGAATCAAAGCCATTTGCTTGATGTGGCAAGAAGATTTCAGAAAAGATATGTTACTTAAGTTAGTTTTGCTTCTTGATTTACAATCAAACATTTACTAACTTTATCTTCAATCAGATTAAGAGAGTTGTGTAGAAGGACTATCAGGGTTTTTCATATTTCTGATGATTTTTAAATGTTTCCTAAAATAAGCAGACCATTTATTCACAAAAAGGCACCTTCATCAAGTTAGCATGTTTTGCTGCTGTGAGCAGGATCCTAAATACAACTTTCTTTTTTTTTAAATTAATTTATTTTATTGCATTTTAGGTTTTGGGGTACATGTGAAGATCATGCAAGATTGTTGCATAGGTACACACATGGCAGTGTGATTTGCTGCCTTCTTCCCCTTCACCTATATCTGGCATTTCTCCCCATGCCATCTCTCCCCAACTCTCCACCCTCCGCTGTCCCTCCCCTATTTCCCCCCAACAGACCCCAGTGTGTAGTGCTCCCCTCCCTGTGTCCATGTGTTCTCATTGTTCAACACCCGCCTATGAGTAGAAAATCAAACACCTAAATACAACTTTCTTCTTAGCCCGAAAAAGTTTGTAAACATGAAAAAGGAAAAAAAACATTAAAAGCAACACAAAATTAGATGACAGGCATTACACACGATGGAGGCAATAAAGGCAGATTTCTCCTTTGGCTAATTGTGAGAGATTCTTCAGTTTGGCCCTCATCTGTACACTTGAGTGTTAAGGCACTCATCTCTCTCTCTTTTTTTTTTTTTTTTTTTTTTTTGGAGACAGAGTTTCGCTCGTTACCCAGGCTGGAGTGCAATGGCGCGATCTCAGCTCACCGCAACCTCTGCTTCCTGGGTTCAGGCAATTCTCCTGCCTCAGCCTCCCGAGAACCTGGGACTACAGGTGTGCGCCACCACACCCAGCTAATGTTTGTATTTTTAGTAGAGATGGGGTTTCACCATGTTGACCAGGATAGTCTCGATCTCTTGACCTCGTGATCCACCCGTCTCGGCCTCCCAAAGTGCTGGGATTATAGGCGTGAGCCACTGCGCCCGGCCACTCATCTCTCTTTTTCAATCTTTCCCTTTCCTAGGAAATGCAGGTATAAAGTTACCTTCAGACTGGGCTCTGCACTCATATAAATAAAGACTCTGGAGGGCCATATGCCTCAGAAATAAAGCAAGCAAGCACAACCATAGAGCATAATTTTAACAGGTACCAATCAGACATAAACACAGAACACACACTGCATTTGCCTCCCTGCCCTATTTGGAAATGAAATATTATGGGAGCAGTTTCTATTATGTGGACCACAAGCTGTTAGACTTTTCTGCATCCTACTTTTAACCTTGTGGACACCACAAAGTGGGAGTAGCCTGTTGAAGCAACTTTTGCTGGAAAGATTAAGATTTGATCCTTTATTGAGAATTAGGTAAGAATAAACGTTACTGCAGGGCGCGGGTGGCTCATGCCTGTTATTCCAGGACTTTAGGAGGCTGAGGCAGATGGATCACAAGGTCAGGAGATCGAGACTGTTCTGGTCAACATGGTGAAACCTCATCTCTAATAAAAATACATGGTGAAACCCCAGTCTCTACTAAAATTAACTTGAACCAGAGCGGAGACTGCAGTGAGCTAAGATCACGCCACTGTGCTACAGTCTGGGCGACAGTGCGAGACTCTGCCTCAAAAAGAAAAAAAAAAAAAGAATAAACTTCACAATTTTTAGAAAGTAAAACACAGGCTTCCCAATCAGAAAGTTTAGTGTGTGTATATACACATTCATATACAGAAATATCGATTGATGAGTGGGGATTTTTGTGCCTCCCGTATACCTAGCCTACAACAAAAGACACAAAGAAATCTTGTTTAGTTTATTAGTAGCTAAGTCTAACTACTAACCTTGCTAGTTTAGTAGTAGGTAAATCTCCCTACAACTAAATAAGAGTCCACACGAGTGACCATCATGCCACCACGCAATCATTTGCCATGGCTTACCCATTCCCCGAAAATGGGTAACAGCTCACAGCAGATATAAACAATGGTGCGAGAAAAACGGGACAATCACAGAAAGTCTTTTCTGTCATGGTAAGAGAAGTTTCATGGCTGTAAGAGCAATGGATACAGCTCCCCAAAAATGATGCATATTAGGGCCAGGTGCAGTGGCTCACACCTTTGATCCCAGCACTTTGGAGGGCCCAGGCAGGCAGATCAGAAGGTCAACAGATCGAGACCACCCTGGCCAACAAGGTGAAACCCCATCTCTACTAAAAATACAAAAATTAGCCGTGTGGGGTGGCATGCACCCATAGTCCCAGTTACGCCACAGGCTGAGGCAGGAGAATCACTTAAAACCAAGAAGTGGAGGTTGCAGTGAGCCAAGATGGCGCCAGTGCACCCCAGCCTGGTGACAGAGTGAGACTCCATCTCAAAAAAAATAAATGAAGTAAATAAAAAAAAATTTTTTAATGGTGCATTTTTTTGCTACCTGGAAAACACCTCAGCCTCACTCCAATGCTTGGGTCATTCTCCCAAATCCTCATTCCAAAGAGTAAGATTAAAAACAGACTATCCAAACGAACACATTCATTGACAGAGGTCTAGCAACCTTCGGGCACTTCTAAGTCATGCTACTATCTGGAAAAAGTTAATATCACCATTTTCTTCACTGCACGATTCCAACTAAATTGTCAAGGCTTTTCACTCATGTATTTTTTTACCTCTTTGTCAAATTCCCTATGACTGTGATGAGTCACAAAGGGACAGTATGCATTTGTCATATATTTAGACAAATTTTATTTTGGCCAAACTTTATTCTCATCTTGCATCTATATATTTGAAGACAAAAAAGGAGGGAAAGGAGACCTGAGGAATGGCTCCAATCATCCTGTCTACTGTTTAAATTTTCTTCCAGATGCTAATAGAGTCCATTGAAAAACCAAACAAAGTGATTGTTAGCCTGGTGCAGTGGCTCATGCCTGTAGTCCCAGCACTTTGGGAGGCTGAGGTGGGCGGATCATGAGGTCAGGGGTTTGAGACCAGCCTGACCAACATGGTGAAAACCGGTCTCTACTTAAAAAATACAAAATTTACCCGGGCGTGGTGGTGCACACCTGTAATCCCAGCTACCTGGGAGGCTGAGGCAGGAGAATTGCTTGAACCCGGGAGGCGGAGGTTACGGTCAGTCCACAATGCATCATTGCACTCCAGCCTGAGCAACAGAGCGAGACTCCGTCTCAAATACAAAACAAAACAAAACAAACAAACAAACAAATAAATAAAGTGATTGTTGATTTATTAAGTGGCTAACCAAGATACGAATTTTACTTAGCCACAATTGAGCTTGTAAATCAAAATTATGGGTATCTAATGTTTTAATATCATGTGCATATGTATGCAAAATGCCTTCCAGAAACTTACAGTACAGTAAAATTACACTCAAAAGCGAAAAATGATATGGGACACAGTAAAATAAATCCAAATACATCTGACTCAAATAATAGATGCAAGCCGTCATTTGTAAAAACACAAATACCTGATAATTATCCTACTACTACTAACAATTTAAAAAATACTCTGCAATGACAGAAAAGTACGTGCCATTCATCTCATTTCTCATAACCTTCTAGATATGGGTGATATACAATTTATCACTCTATACCAGTGGGATTCATTTATTCACTGGTACCAATCTGAAGATTTGAGCCGACTACATGCTTGCTTTCACACTTCCACTCAATATACATTCAAGTGCAATTTTAATTGAAACTGATCTTCCACTTCAGATTTCAAATTAATTCTTTTTTGGAGTGCGTCATGCTCCAGACACCCTTGCCTTGCAAAAACCCCTACACCATTAGCAGAGGAAAGAGAACACTTTTTCCAAGCTTGCAGGTATTGATTACCTATTCTCACACCGAAGCACCATTGCCATTCCACACTGTATAAATCTCTTTGGTGTTAAGATACTTTATAAAAGACTGAGAATTATACCATTAATCATTTCCAGTTCCATAAGACTCATGGTATTGAATGCTTTGTTTTTCACAACTCTGAATAAATGCTTTTAAGTAAAAAAAAAAAAAAAAAAAAAAAAAAAGATACTAAATACTTTGGTTAACTTAAACCTAGAGATGAACACTTAACAAGAACCTTCCTCTCTCAGACATGATATTACCCATGTGAAATACGAATGAGAAGTCACTTGCACTTTAGTTTCCTCTTACTGATTCTTTCTTAGAAGTAACAAGACATCTGTATTTTGGCAGTAAGACCATTTTGAATGGCTCACCAACTCCGACACATCAATCTAGTACACTAGTCTGTGTTCTCAAACGGGAAGAGGTAAGGGCAGGAGTAGAAACCACAGGGCAGTTTGAGCTACCAAAAGTAATTTCCTGTTCACCTGCTAAAAGTCTTGAATAAATGAGATTTTGATTGAGACATACTGCCAACCTCTAAGTACAAAGGGAATCTAACAATGTTTCTCATTCAACATGTGATGACAAAAGTATTCTTTTTAATGAATTCAATGAACACATCTGAAACCCCTGGCTATCAGTTTGATCTTGGAGTAAACGTCCCTTTGTGAGGGAAACATAGGGGTTCTTGGTTCTTTGGACCACATTATCACTATTGTATAATTTACTATTTATACCTAAATGTCTGTCTTCCCTACTAGGGGTAAACTCTGAGAACTGGTTCCTTCTATATCTTGTACAACTTCATTCCAATGCCTATCACAGAGGCCCACATAAAGTAAGCCCTTAAAACATATTTTTAGATACAAATAAATGAATTGAAAGAAAAGATTAAAGAGGGACAGAGTTCCACCTTCTAATGACACTACTGTATGTTCTCTCTGCA